ATCCCACTGTGAACACTTTTAAAATGTGTCATTTAATCGCTATATGTGCTGCAGTTTCAATGTGTCCCTCCAAAGTCCATGTTCTAAAGACCTGGTGCCCAGACTGTGGGCATTTGGGGAGATGATATGGCCTTTCAATGCGGGTGAATACTGTGGCAGGTCTTCTGGGCCTGGAGGTACGCGCTCCGGGAGAAGGAGAGGGTGCGACCTCAGCCTCTCCTCTTCCTGTCCTTTGTACCTCAGCCATGAGGTGAGCAGTTTTCCCACACACTGCTGACATGATGCGCTGCCTCATCCCAGGGCCAGTCACGGACTGAGCCCTGTAGAACTGCGCCTAGATAAACTTTTTCTCTTTGTAAGGTGATTGGCTTAAGTATCTTACAGTAACAGAACGTTAACACAACCTGATTACCATAATGTTAAAAGTTTTCTGAAGTCACTGAAAATACCTAATAGAAAGGAAACTAGAATAAGGAAAAAGAGGCAATGTTTCTCGTAAGTGGAATACATATGGGTTTAGAAGAATGGATGTATAAAATCACAGTTATAATACTGTAATAAGGGGCTGGGGATTTAGCTCAGCGGCAAAAGCACCTGCCTGGCAAGCGCAAGGTCGTGAGTTCGGTTCCTGGTACTGGAGAAAAAAAAATAATAATAATACTGTAATAAAATTAAACCAGCATTTAATTTGTCAGCATATAAGACAAACAAGTTTCCTACTACTGTCCACAGAACCTAGCCTATTAGGTTTCTCTTTTTCTTTCTGATGTATTTTTTATTTTCACTCTATAGAAGAATTTTTCAAGAGCTTGTGATTGAACACTTCCTAAATTAATGTAGTGGTAATGAGTAATTCTTTAATGTAGTGATTACTTTTTATTCTTTAGACTTAAAATTGAAACTATAAATCTTGCCTTATTTAAACAAGACTTTTCAATCTGCAAAGAAACTCAAATGAGAGTCACAGGAAAAAGCTGCACAAAGATAATATTCCTAACCCAACAGGCACATTGCTTTCCTTTTCTTAGCAAGAGGCACATCTCCTGGAGGCAGAACATTTCCCATAAATAAATCTAACAAGCTTTGCGGCAGTCATGGTGACATCCGTCTTTTCTGGTTCACCTCTGCTCTGACGCCAGGACACAGAACGTGCAAGCAAGAAGCCACAGAGTCCGGCCAGGCGCTCCACGTGCTCCTGACGGGCTCTTCCTCGGGGTACAGCTGTGACACGCGGAACTCAGAGACACACGCGCTGGTCCAAGGCTGCAATATAGAACCCTTGTTCTGTCTCTACGGGAGATCTACGTCACGGAGCTGATCAAGATCCAATTACTATCGATACACTGCTTAGTAAACTATTAGCTAGGAGTAATCATCTTGTGGGGTTTTAACGTTCTATTGCTTTTGTTTTCGCACAAGCAACAATCCCTTCATAAAGATGACCGATGTTAGGATGGCTCACACAATTTGTCTTACGGCCACTGAGAAAATGTAGCCTACCATGTGTGAACTAGACGTGCCAAGCGATTACAGCGAACACCAGTTATGAATTCTGTACAAGTCAAGCAAAGGTGAATGCTCCTACATTCATTTTTTAGAATATCCACAGAAGTACAAATGCTCACAATGGATGTGCTCTTCGAGAAAAGCCTTTCAATTTTAGATGAGTAAAATTAGTAACTGCTGTTTTACCAAAGTTTCCTCTAGACATTTACGTTCCACTAGATAGCAGTGCCTCTTCACCTAGCAGCCTGTGTGTCACTGTTCCCTGTGACTCCTCTGTCGTCACCCCTCCTCCGTCTCCTCCTCCCTGTGCCTTCTCCCCTCCGTACCCGCCAGCCTTATCTTCCCAGTGTGCACCAGGCAGAAGGAGAGCTGGCTGACCTGCAGGGCCTGAAACAACGTTTCCCCACGTGGGACCCTCAAAGCCAAATCCCATGAGATTTGAATAAATGCTAAAAATTTTTAAAGTGCGGATAATACTGATTTACATACCTCCTTTCCTGCTACATATCATGGTGTTTGTATAGTGACTTTCCAAGAAGGAAGGTAATGGCCATTTTCTGAAGCTGGTAGGCCAGAGAAGTTTATTTCGCACATTCTCTTTCAAAACACACTGGAATACACCATGGCTCTCAAGTGGAGGTGCAGGAAGGAGCGGACAGAGAAGCCGATGCACGTGGCTGGAGCCGAGGAGAGTGCTCGGCAACTGTCCTTATCTAAAAGAGAATTTCCCGAAGAGTTTGATGGGCCACCTTCTTCCTTCCACTTAACAATCAGGCAGCTCCAAACGGTCTGCGTGCAGAATTTTCAAAGACCCTGCTGATACGCAGACCTTCTCAAGGCCAAGCCCAAGAATGACACCTGAAACTCACATGTGGTCCCGTGAAACTTGCGTTGAGAACAACTGCTCCAGGAAGTACGGGGCCAGCTCATTCCCAAAGAGGAAGCGGCTCAGGAGGTGCAGGGAGGTCAAGGAGGGAGGGCTAGGGGATGAAAAGAGGAATCTGGGTGTGTTATGAACACGTACCAACTCCGTGCAGGAATGGAAACAGCAGGTACTGCAAACATGAACAAAAGGAAAGGAAAGGGACCCAGGGATGGGTGGAGGCGGAGGGAGGGAGGGAAAGGAGATGGGAAGGGGGAACTAGCATGTGTTAAATAGCAAAAACAAAAAGGATGTGTTGCATACACGCACCAGCTCTCCACAGTGAATGTACTGATCACACCCGGCACACACGTTATCGTAGCCAACACAGTGGCTGGAAATTACTGCCCTACGACTGTGCCATTCCCGGGTGGGCAAAGGAGCACTGGGCAATCCGTCAGCTCCTGCACAGAAGCTCCCCTCATGGCAGCTCGCCCGCAAGCAGGCAAAGGTTACCGCCAGAAAAACCGCGCCTGGGCTGACACGCTGACACTGGCGGCTCACAGTAGAGTGTAGGATCTCAGCACAGGGGATTTACGGTCAGAGCACCCGTCCAATACACACGGCAATACATGGAAAAAACCCAGGTCTGACGTTCCCACCTTCACTTCTTCCCATGATAACAGCTGCCAGTAAAACAAACAGCTTCACGTAATTCTTCTAATAAAACATTTAAAAAATACTAACATGGAATGTGATTGATATGTTTGTTTGGCTCTAGTAATTATTTCCCTATGTGTGCATAGATCAAAACCTCAGGGTGCATGAAATTAAATATATACAAGTTTTGAGAAAGTTAAAATATCCACCTACCCTTTCCTTGTTGACATGCAAAGTAGTAAAAATTACTATCCTTTACTCACATAAAGACATTGCCACTCAACAAGCACGACTATCTCAGTGGATGGACAGAATGGTAAGAGACCTGCGTAGCACAAACAAAATTCCGTTATTACTCAAGTCCAAACAGCATTGGAATGCATCCGGGTTTCTTGGGAAATACTTTATCAGAAATGTGGGATACTTGCAAAGTGAATTCATGGGGGAGATATTTTTGAGCATGGAAATAACTGCAGAGGCACTGTAATACTGGAGGGCTGTAATACTGGAAAATATATATTCGTTCTTCATACCTGCTTCCTGACATACAACTCCTACAATCCTCGGAAACTCCACACTGGCCACGTTGTATTGCGTGTGAATGAGCTGACCAGATGGTGCAGCCCTTAGGTAGCTTCGGGGTGGGGACTGGCTACTGGAAGCACGAAAGCAGGATGACCTGCTGTTGATCACCACTCGCCAGTGACTTTGTAAGTCATACCTATGTAATAAGGCCCCAAGAGAAACCCAAAGACAGGCTTTGAGAGTGTCCGGCAGCAGAACAAGTGGCGGTTCACGGAGCGGGGCTTGCCCTGGAGGGGACACAGAAACTGCACGCCCTTCCCCCACACCCCACCTTATGCATCTCTTCATCTGTATCCTGTGTAACGTCCTTTATACTTAACTGGCAAACATAAGCATAGTACTTCCCAGAGTTCTACGAACTTCCCTAGTAAATCAAATGAACCTGAGAAGAGGAGTGTGGGGATCCCAGTTTGTCCCCAACTGGGCACATCAGAGAAGAGAGTCAAGGTGGGGTGGCACAGGTTCAGGGAGTCAGGAAGCCACTGTTATCTACCCTCAGGAATATCCACAGCTGGAACTTGGAACTGGGCTGCAGACACAGCAGCCCACACACACCCCAGGACTCGGTTGACTTTTACACAGGTCGGACTGCAGGTCCCCACACCAGTCTGTCCAAGGACCCCTCCCCCAAACTGCCCAGTGGCTGAGACCATGTCCAACCCCTTTCTCACAAAGCAGCATATCATTGGCCAGGGCCAACCATGACACCTGACTTAGATGTGAGGGAACTTCCAGCCCCTCCAGTTTAAAGCTGTAAATACAAACATCACTTTGTAAAACATGGGAGCACATTTTCAAGATTACTTAAGCCTGCTCTTCCATACTGCAATCCTAATTAGACCCAAATTAATGGATTTGTCTTTGTTCCTGACTAGGTCAACAATACTTTCATTAGATGCTCAGAAATGTCAGAGATCTGATGTGGCTAGTGGTTTGAAAGAGGAGCAGTGTTGGGGACTGACCCTGTCTCCAGTAGGTAATGTTGGGGCAGAGCTGCATTAGATGGCGTCTAGCTTGTATCACCTGCACAGCTGACTGCCTCCTTGCTAGCGAGGAGAGACCTCCACACCCATGCCTCTTTTTTGTTTGCTTGTTTTCTGGTACCGGGGATCGAACTCACAACCTTGTGCTCGCTGGCAGGCACTGTGCCGCTGAGCTAAATCCCCAGCCCCTACCCATGCCTTTTGAGGTAGCAGAAGTCTTCTATGTTGACAGATGAGATGCAAGATGGGGGGGTGGGGGGAATTTGTATGGCACACATGCGGCAGCAAGCTGTTTATCACTGAAAGCTCTAGAAGGTTCGCTATCACTGGCCTCGGTGAACAGACAGAACTCCAAGAGGAGATGATGAAACAAGAACCTTCCAGAACACAGAACATCATGCGCGGGGAGCAGGCGCAGGACTTGAGTGGCACAGAAGCGGTCGCTGGGACAGCCACAGGAAGAGAAAAGAAGAAAGGGACCATAAAGTCCTGCCTTCAAGAGGAGTCAGAACTTCCTTGGAAACTCAGAGAAGCCGCTATAGATTTGAGACCAGGGAGGAACCAGCCCGACGCTATTGTAAGAAATGCTCATTTGTAATTGCTCAGGATCACATCACCAAAACGATCTTCACGATTTCTCTTTGAGTTCCATATCAGCAAACTTTCACATGAAAACAGCACAGATCTGGCTCTAGAAAGTCTACAGAAAACGTGTTAAGTGTTTCCCGAAACCTCTTGCAAAGACTATTAACATTCCCCAGCAGTCCTCCTTACACTCCTATCCCTCTACCTTCCTCCTCTTCTCAAACTCTTTTTTTTCTCCACAGTGCCCCATCTCAAAGCCTTCTGTGTCTCTGTTGCAGCAGGTGAGTATCGACCATCCCTTTCTCAGGGCAGACTATGTGCTCCTGCTGCTAGTGGGGTAATCAGAGAAAGTTCGAGGAAAGGATAAGCACCAGAGGGTGAGAGTAAAGGTTATGAAACCTCCTAATTTCTAATTCTTATCCCAGGAAGACGGACTGGCAGGGGTGCTAAGAAGAATTAGGTCACTGTCACACTCTGATGATGGCTTGAACGAGGAGGACACGAAGAAGAAGAACCAGATTCTAGACATTTGTGGAAGGATTTATTTGGTAAACTGAACTCCAGAATGACAGTCAACAACACATGTTAACCTCATAACCCTGGGCCCACCAGAGCGCCCTCAAATGTGTGGGCGAAGGCTCTCGTGAAGAACAGGGGGCTCACGGGAGTAAGGACCCCGGAGCATGGTGACTCCTCAGGGCTCTCATACACGCAGGCCACCCACACACCCTCTGCACCCCTAACACATGCCATCCGCGCTGGCCCAAAGGTGTCTATGTTCACTGCTTCTTCTGCCTGAAAACAGTTCTCCCACTTCCAGCCTCACACCTATATATGAAGAAGTTGCCTAACTACCAAAAAGGGAGATGCACAGTTGCATGCTATGATAATACTGTGAATGATAGTTCTGTCCTTGTGCAACAAAAATCCTAAAATCCTTGGAATCTCTGAAATAAGCACGTGCTTTTGCATGTTAATGAACTGACTGGTAGCAACCAGCACCAAGGCAAGATCAGAGGATTAGGACTCCCTCTGGGGAGGGACAGGGGCTGAAGGTTAAACTGAACGCCACTGACCAATGATGTAATCAATCATGTCTATGTAATGAAACTTCCTCAGTGAAAACCGCAAAGTGCAAAGTTCCCAGGGCTCCCACACAGCTGGAAGTGTGGAGACTCCTCAGGGTGGCACGCTGAGAGAGAGCGGAGGGAAGCTCAAGGCCCCTTCCCTCACACCCTGTCCTATGTCTTATGCATACCTTCATCTGCGTATCCTTTGTAACATTATCATAAATCGGCAAATGTGTTTTGCTGCATTCTGTAAGCCACTCTATTAACTTACTGGAGCCTGAGGAGTGGATTGTGGGAACCCCACAATCACCCCGATTTACAGTGGTCACTCAGAAGCACAAGGAAAAGACTGGCACCTGACCGGCAGGGGCGAGGGTGGAGGTCAGCCTTAGTCACTGAGTTCTCAGCCTGTGGGATCAGACCTCCCCAGGTACAAGATGTGAGAGCTGAACTGAGCTAGAGCACAAACTTCTGGTGTCCTTTGCAGAACCAGCTGCTTGTGTGACGTGAGGGAGCGGCACCCCACACGCAGGAGAAGCCGTGCCTGAGTTATTGTTCTCTACTTGCACGGGCGGCAAGGGTTTCAGAATCCAGAGAAGGGTACTGTCGCTGGGTGCTGGCGCTTATTATGCTGCAGGCAGGGGTGGGAGTCCTTGGAAAATGCTTCCGGCACGAGCGGTGACACTTCCACCTCCCGAGCAGCCCCACGGGAACAGCCACACGGGCTCCTTGTCCTCTCGGCCTTCCTGCTTGGCCCTGATCCCTGCCCAGTGCTCCACTTCCAAGGCAAGGAGACCCCGTTTTCCTCCCCCGGGGAGCGGAGCGCAGTGATCACAGATGGAACCGGCGCGGGCAGCTGTAGACACCGCGGACCTCACGAGCCACCTGTGGGTCCGTTTCTGTCAGGCTGCCTTGCTTTTCAAAACGGCAGCCTGTCACCACTTTTCACGGTAAGTAAAGTGTTCTGTCCTCTCCCTCCTAGCTCACATCCGTGTCAGGCAGTCTCTACTCTCATGAACCAAAGAAAAGCTCTGTTAAAACATAACCGAAACAGCGTCTGACATAACGCATCACCATCAACGCTCCTGTGGTCTGAGACTCTCCTCCACTCCCTTCTCATCCCAAAGGGACCCTGACCCTCCGAGATAAATGTTTGGGATGAGGGTAACTGTAAATCAAGGCGTGGGATGAGTGCGGCATATCAGGGCATGCCTGGTCAAGGTCGCCGCCCCCTTCTTGAGGGCTCTCCATCTGCCAGTCGAACTGAACTCTCCCCACATCTTGCTGGGTACCCACCTCAGCCTGGCAAGCGTTCCCAACCCCTTCGGCTTCACACCTACTGCGGAACAGGACACGGTTTTCTGCTTTCTTCCAGGGCAGGTGGTGCTAGCCACACACACACACACACACACACAAACACACACACACACCCCTGCGCGTGCTGCAAAGAGCTCTGCCCTAAGTAGCCTCGGCCCTCTGCAGCGTAGCTGGCATGTGAAGACAGGTATTCAATATGACCGTGGCCTGAATGACTACATAGCTGTCATCATATTAGGAAATAAAAATAATACTAAGAAGTTAGCATGAGCCGGGTGTGGTGGCACACGCCTGTAATCCCAGCCCTCGGGAGGCTGAGGCAGGAGGATCCTTGCGAGTTCGAGGCCAGCCTGGGCTACAAAGTGAGCTCAAGGGCAGCCTGAACTGCTCAGCGAGACCCTGTCTCAAAAAGACAAAAAAGAAAAGCCTGAGGCAGAAGAGGCCCCTGGAGCTGTGTCCCGAAACCCAGGAGGAAGCTGCCGGCATCCCGAGGCGCCTGAGCTCGGTCCTCTCGCTAAAGTCGGGCGCGGAGGCCTGAAGATGCCCCTTGACTCCCGCCTCCGCCGCCAGCTCCGCCTTGCCACGGACCTGATCGGAGACCCTTCCAGTAGATTCTTGTCTCTTCCGACCACCTCGCCTTGCGCCCCGTGCCCCGGACACAGCCCGCGGCCTCGGCCTCCTTTCCTCCGCCTTCCTCTTCCCCTCCTCATTCTCGGACTTCTCTAACTTTCGAACGTCCCTGCCGCTGTGCAGTGGCGGCTTTCTCCTCCTTCGCTCCCCCACGAGCGCATCAGAGCAGCGGGAACCGAGTGTCAGCACTCCGGACGCCGGGGCAGCAGCGGGTCTTCAGAACGCGCGGGAAGGTCCGGGCTGCGGGCTGCGCCGGCAGCC